TAGCGACGAGCTGAAAAAGGCCAATACTGTTGGCCTCTTTTCAAACAAAGTAACGTAAAATAAAGCCATGCCCTCAATTCGCATCATAAAAAAGAGAAAATGATAAAACTGATAAAGCATGACAGGTTTTACAATAGCTCATTCATAATATTTTGCCCCAACACCATATGTCACCATTTCTTTTCAATTACTTTTTAAAAAAATCGAAAGATCATCTTATACACGATTAGACACGGGAAAAGACAATGCATACTGATTTGAAGATACAACTTGAATGGCATAAGTGATTAATCATTCCGAAACCGTATACAAACTTTTTTGATTTTCTTTTTGTTGTCTAGTGCTCAAATTTCTGGTAGCTTCAAATATGGGATAAAGTAGAATTTTAAAATAAAGAATTTACTAAATATAGATGTAGTTGTAAACAAAAGTATGAAATTAACGACTCGGGGAGGTATCATTCTACAGATTGAAAGTGCTTGAAACTATAGAAAAAATATTTAAAAAACGGTTATGCATTCTCTCTCTGTGTGTGTGTCTCTGTCTGTCTCTCTGTATAACTCTCTGTCGCTCTGTCTCTCTGTCTCTCTCTCTCTGTCTCTCTGTCTCTCTATCTATCTATCTCTCTCTCTTGTTCAAATAAATGCACTCCAAAGTCTCCATACCTTTCTCTGAACTATCACAAAGAGACCGTCCGTACTCGGATGATAAGCGGGTAAGCTAGATGCAGACGATATGAATGGGACTATGTGCGTGATTTTTGATAGGATTTCCCGCGTAGCTTGGCAATGTAGCCGTGACACTAACAAAAGGTATTACTCCCTTCTTAAACTAACATCTGTGCCGATTTTTTCCCCCTCAGCTTTCTACTTTCTATCCGATTCTTTGACGAACGAGACGGATTAGGCATATACATGCCGGCATAATATTTGTCTTTGCTCTATTCTTTGTTCAATCTTTCTCTTTGATGAAACACATGCCAGGTACAACGTAAAATTATGATGTCAATTTCGGGTCAGACCCGACGGTGTCACTTTGCATCGCTGATTACGTTTTTAGCCAGGAGACGAAGTATGGTGATGAGCCAAAATATCACATGGGTCATAGTTAAGTAAATGACTTTGTCATAAGTACAAATAAGCTCCACCTTACACAAGTAACTCATTTAAAACGAAAACGAAAGTTTGATTAGGGCTGCTTCGAAAAATATTCAAGTTTAAACTCGTTCTTTTTTATTTTATTTATTTGTTTTTATTTGCATAGATTATTCAAACCCCACTTCTGTGTCTAAACCCTCCTGTATCAAATTTCCCTCTCTGTTTTTCCTTTTGTATAAACTATAATTTTGATAATTATTGTCACATACAACTGCTCCTATGAAATAATAGTACCATGAACACTGAGGCAAGTATTACTATTCGAACATACCCCCTTCAAATGACTCGATATTGTAAATATACCAAGGTAAAGGCTGTCGCCCCCTCCACATCGCCCCTCATCATACACTATTCTTACTTCTTTGAGAAACACCATGTTTAAGACTACTTGATTGGTTTAAAACTTCGAGCAGTCAATCTGGTTACTTGTAACCTTTACCTGACATTTCATTATGATACCATGGACACCTAACCACAACACAGAACAAGCACACCCTCCGGTCAATGCTATAACGTTCTTAATAAAAAATAAAGAGGAAAAAACTACCACTAGTCCCACCCTTGACAATGAAGTTACAACACCACCAAAGGGGTGAAATAAATGGGGTCATCTATTCACAACTTACAAAGGGATATTAGTAATACTCAATGGCTAGACAATGGGCTTGCCCCAATTTTGAGCTTTCATGAACGCCCGACGAAGGTTTTATATTTTTAATCTCAGAAGTGACTGTACTTTGAAAAGTTTAGAATTCTTTTTGCTCTTTTTTAAAAAATCCGGTGGTCAGGGTTTAATTCGTCCGAATCAAGGTCCGTCATAGAATTAAAGAAGAATGGTCCGTCTCCTGACTCCAGTAGAATGTAACTTATCATAAACGTCATTTTTCATTCGATATTATTTGGCATAAACTTAATCATTGACCCAACTTGGTGACATAGAATAATTTTTGATATTTTTGCAATCTTATGATTTTAATAAAATGTTCATGTTTATTTCAATCATCCACATATCTATATCATTTAAATTAATATAATATCTCACTGCTGCAATCTACTATTTCCACTATTCTATTATTTCTGAGAAAGAGTACTTCACTTGACGTCTCAGAAAAACATTAGAAAATAAACCTCTACCATTCTTAATTCATCCTTAGACAAAAGGACAGCTCCTTTAATCCTATGGAAGAGATGCCCTACATGTTATATGTTTATATACAATTATTATCATTATCAATAATCTTTATTATTAAACATTCATGCAAAGTATCATGTCTTGCCAAATGAATAATGGATGAATGAATGTATCTTTGCTGTAGAAGAAGGATATAAACAAACAAAAGGCACTTCATCAGGGGGGAGGGGGGAGCGGCTGCGGAGCAATCCTACCGTATAGATACTAAAAATAGTTTTTTCAAACCCATTTTGTATTCGAGTCTGGAAACTACTAGTTGTCCCAAACTATCACAATCGCTTGAATTCAGAGCTCAGTAGAAGCCTTTCGAAAAATATCCTTCTATCACATTGGAAAAATGGAAAATAAGTCTGACCCGAATAACAAGAATTAATCTCCTAAAACCACCTTGAAAACCAAACGAGCAAATTGCGTCTTGATTATGCCAAAGGGTAGCGCACACATACATTTCTGTCCATTTTCGCTTTTAAACAAATTCTCGATTCTAACACAGTCAAGGTTTACAAACTTTTCGAACGCACTTTTTTCTTCTCCTTTTTGAAATATTTTTAACTCTTCTATTGATGAAAAAGGGGTGACCTAATTTTTCATTGTGTTTTTGGTTTGTCAGCTGGGTCAGCTATTTTCTTTTAGCGAGGATTTATTATGCCATGGCCTAGATAATTCGGTGTTACTTGTAAGCCACGTGGATAGGTAGACAAGAACTGTAAGGTTTATTAAAAAAACTATTGTTGATGAATATCTGTGAATATATCAGGACAAAAGGCCCCCCCCCCCCCCATCATCAACCACGCTCTCCTTATAGGAAAGCAACATGTTATTATTAAATAACTTTCGATGGATGCAAAACAATAAGTTTTGATTTAAAAAAATTTAGCTGATTATACTAATAGTAAAGATGAACAGTTTTTGAAAGTTCTTATAAAGCCATTCGTTAATTTAGACAAAATTTGAGTATTATTTTAAATTTAAAAAAAAAAGTTTTATTTGCGAATCACATTGTCACAAAAGATAATCTCAAGATAAATACATATCTTCTTAGATACAGAGACATGATTAAATGAACTAGAACATCTCAAATATAATTTAGTAAGTTTTCAATTATTCTATACAGTTCAATGGAGTTCAAAACGGTTTAAGTTTGAAAGATATTATGCGTTCTGTTTTTTTTCTAATTGTATTAAAGAAAATTGGAAGGATTTGAATAAAGGAACGATGTTTTGACATTTACATGAAAAGATGAGATATTTGCCGGATAAACCAAATAAAAGTGTTCTTTTACTAATGTTCCAAAGTAAATTTCTATACGTGATAATTCAATGAGTTGGATCTTTTTAGAAATTAGCCAACTGTACAGATCATTCCAGAATCTTGAAACACAAAGGCATTCAAAAAATAAATGAATTATTGTTTGTTCTTGTTCGTAACAAAATTAACATATATTTTGATCAAAAATTACAATTTTACACAAGAAGGAATTTGTAGCAATTTTCCTATGAATAAATCTGAATTGAAAATATCTTAATTTGTTATGTATTGATAATTTGCATATCAAATTGAAACGATACCTCCATATTTCATCATCTGATAATTGTAGTGACAGATCATTTTGCCCTTTCAGTTGTTGATCCGTTTCTGACAAAGCCATAGTAAAACTACGTATCAAGTAATGTAGAGTAACACAATTAGGAAATTAATTTATTATTGATTATTCATAATTATGTTTGGTAACTTGTTTTTCGTTGTATTTCCACATCCGCCCCATACTACATCACAATAATTTAAGTAAGACAATACTAGTGAAGTATAAACCAATTTCATTTCATATTCATTTACTATTTTTCTTATAGATTTGAGTATATATAATCCGTTACTTGTTTTTGTAATGAAAAGTATTAAGATGTTCCTGCCTTGGTAATCTTTCATCTAAAATTACCGCCAAGGTGTCTACACTTATTAATTTAAGTTAACAAAAAAATATCTATAGTAATGTTTAAATCAGTATCTTTAACTTTATCCAGACGTTGCTTTGTACCGAATAAAATGTATTCGGGTTTCTTTAAATTCAAATTTAGTCTGTTTTGTATCAACCAGTTTTTTAAAAATATTTTAAATATTCATATACCTTCTTACCTATTTCTATGGTATCATTAGCCGAACAATATATTACCATATCATCAGCATACATGCTAACTTTACAGTGGTTGAGGCCTTGTGGCAAATCATTAACATGTAATATAAAAAGCAGGGGTCCTAAAATGAATCCTTGGGGGATTCCATATTCAACTGGCAAAAAAAATCTGACACTATACCGTAAACAGACGTAGACTGCAATCGACCAAATAATTTGAAAACCATAGCTGTGATGGTTTATCCAACCTGTACATACAAAATGTTATCAATAGCAACTCATAATCAACGGTATCAAAAGCCCTTTCCAGATCTAGCATTACCGCATAGACAATTTTCCCATCATCTAATATGCTAGTTATTAAACCAATCATCTGTTACATTTAGTAGAGCAGAAGATGTACTGTGATTGGGTTGAAATCCTGATTGGTAAATGCTCAACAATATATCGGTATTCAAGTAATTATAAAGTTGATTAAAGACCATATCTCTAAAACTGTTGATAATATGGATAAAATAGAACTAGGTCTATAGTTGCACAACTCCTTACACCCTCCGTTTACACCCTCGAGTTTTTCCTCATTACGCACAATTCCTGTAACTATAAAGATGAATTTATTATAGACATCAGAGGCTGCACAATGTACAACTGCACAATGAGGATTGATGCCTTACCAAAGGGCACTAGCGCATCTACTTGTACTATTAACTAATGCTATCCTTGCTTTGGCAAACAAATATACTTTTCTAACAATATTACTGAGGTAAGATATTAAAACAAATCAGATTTTTTAAAATGTAATGAAATACTCACACTTCTTACGGAACCGTAACTTTTTGTCTTCAAGAACTTGGAAAGCCCTCTTGATCTAAAGTCCGCCAAATCTTCACTTTATCAAACTACCCGGTCTTGGCTCTTCTTTTAAACAGTTCCGTTTTTGATCCAATAAACGCAGAATAGAACTCTGCAAAATTTTGCCAATATAGGACTTTTCACCTTAATACTGTTTTATAAAGAGGGATTGATCTTCACGTCCAAAATAAAGATTTGTTGTTAGTCCTCTAAGAAAAGTCCAGCTTGGAGTGGTAGATTTGAGGTACTCCGGTCAAATGCAGCAATGCGAAGAATATGAACAATATTAAAGTAGGCCACGGCTCACATCACGAAGGTGCCCCAGAAATTGTGACACAGAAAAAATGGTAATTACAAGTTTAGCGCCTTTTATTATCTGCTGTGTATTGTTAAGTAATTTTAAATTTGACCTTTGACATTGAACATCATCAAACATTTTACCTTCTGTTGAAAGGCATTCATTGTCATGGTCGTCATTGTGTGTTGCAAGGCTGCTCATCAATGGATGTTAAACTAGGTCTCGGTGGTATAATAAGTGTTACATTTCAAGATAAGGGGGGCGGGTGCAAAAAACATTAAGGTCGATAATTTAGGCCTATTTGGGTTTTTTAGATTATGTTGTTGTTCCCAGGCATCAAATGCTATATGATTCCTGCTGTACTGGCGTATAGTAATCTTCTTACCTATTTTAACATTATTTTTACTTCTATCATAATTAGCCTTTCATTCATTTGGTTTGGGCAAACACAAGTAAATGATGCTGTGGATAAAGAGATGTTGAATATGATGAAATTAAATGAAATGAGATTTGTTTTGAGAGAGAGAGAGAGAGAGAGAGAGGGGGGGGGGGGACGAGTTCATAAATTCAGCAACTTAATTGTATTTAGTAATACTCATTATAGTCAAATAACAGTAATATTGATGTACTTAGCCCTTAAGCTACCATTTATACAACAGATCGTAATAGTTATCGAATTTTTTCAAAAAGATCGAAGATGCAGTTTATGATAACTTTGTTTTGTTTTGCACTACTTACTTACTTTCTTTTTAAAGGAATGTTTACGAACCTTATAGAATCTTTGAGGGGGTAATGATTTACCCCCTTCCTACCCCTCTGTCAAGTACCATTCTTGATAGAGGGTGATTTGGTTGGCGTACTATTTAGTACGGGCAATTGAATTCGTGGTAATAATCATTGTCAAACCTACCGGCATCTTTTGTCCAAAATAGGTCAACCTTGTTCCATAGCAAGTGTAAGAGAATGGAAAATAGAGCATAATATTTTCAGTCTTGATATGCAGGAAAGAAAAAACGAAACGAGTGATCGGGATCAATTCAGAGAGGGAGAGAAAGAGATAGAGAGAGAGAGAGAGCGAGAGAAAGAGGAGAGGGATAGAGGGAGAATAATGTAATGCAGGGATAGAGAATGAAAAACAGAATAAAAAATGAACAGGAAAGAGAGAAAGATGAAAAGTATTATGAACAGGGAATAACAAGAGAGAGAAAGAGAGATAGAGAAAGAGAGAGAGAGAGAGTGAGAGAGAGAGACAGAGAGAGGGGGAGATGTGTGTATGTGTGTGTGAAAGCGAGAGAGAGAGAGAGAGAGAGAGAGGGAGAGAAAGAAAGAGCACATAGAAACAAAATGTTGACAGACCACATTCAAGCATTTTACTCGTTTGGAGGTCGAAAGTTTAAATGAAAGAAAAAGAAAGAGAGACAGATAAATGTAGTAAAACAAAGTAAACATCGGTTGTTACTAGGTGCGATAATTCATGTTAACAAACTTTAGTATACATCTCATTAAAATCCGGTAAAATATCTATCAATTCAAAAGGGCTTTCCAACTCTTTTTCTCAAAATATTTCAGAAGTCAATTTTGCATAAATATTTGATTTGAACATAATCATATGTTCAAGTAATATTTCATTAAAATATAGAGTGCATATAAGAGCATTTTATCTGTTTCAATTAAATGCACTCTAAGAAATATTGAGTAAAATTTTACTCAAAATGAAGTCGTATGGGCACATGGTCAGAATTGAGTAAAGGTTTTTAATCAACTAGATGGGTAATATTTTACCCGTTATTGAGCTTTGTTTTACTCAGTGAATAGTAAAGTGTGTTTTACTCAAATTTCAGGTAATTTTCTTTTTACTAAAATAAGGCCAGAAAACTCCTTTCACAATGCTCCTTGTGGTTTAATTGATGTTTTACATCAAATTTGACCATGTGTCCTTTTTCATATGTGTCATGTGTAAACGTCATTTTAGTCATAAATTAGCAATTCATTATGTAAATCAATTTTTATTTGGTAATGTCATCATGGACCCCAATGTTCCTTTTTACAGGACATATCTTTAAACTCTGCTGAAAATGAACTCCAAGGCCAAGACGGAATGATGTTATGTTATGAAATTATGCATATAAATAGAGCCTCAAAACCAGTATGCATGAAACTCACAGAAAAGTGGAATATGCCAGTATATAATTGTCCAAATTAAAAAAAAAAACATATCTGAAAAAGACTCCATAACGTTACAAAGCAGGCGGTACCTTAATGCCGGTGTGTAGTTTACAAAAAGATCTTTTAATTTCTTCATCTTATAACAAGAAAGCAAATATTAAAATGCATATCAAAACACAGAACATTAAAAAATCTAAGGAAATTCAGCCTAAAAAAAAAAGAAGGGAGAAAAAAAGAAGCCCAACATTTATTATTGTAGAAACAAGAAGTAAAAGGTAGTTGCATAATTAGAAAAATAAGACACTTTTGTATTTAGCAATTAGAGATAATGATCAGATGATTACAGTCTACCCTCTAAAATTTGACTTCAAAAGAACTTCAATAATCTGCAGAGCAAACAAGAAAAAATGGCTCTTGTTCTTTAACACTTAACACGCTTAGGAAAGAAAAAATACAATTTTTTTTAATCTTCCATTTTTCAAAAATTTTCATATTCAAGCTGATTCTAACAAATTTTCGCAGCATGAAAGAGTATGCAATTTTGTGTCAAAATTGAAGAAGGCTGAAGCATCTGTTACATGTAATTTCTCATTGTTTTTACAAAAAGAAAAACACTAAAAATGTAGCTGATAGAAACCGTGGTCACTATTATTCTGGCTTTTTCACTAATGCACTCACACCCAATATCCACTCAGAATTAGTAGAATGGCTTCATACCAGTGCCAGTTTATGGGTTTCGCAAAAACCATGATGTTTGCCCCATTTGTGTGAAGTAGTCCTGGCCACATGGGAATGTGAATTTTGTTGTATTGGCATATATATAATTAACAAATACAGAAAATGGCATGTACATAAGCCATAAATTTGGTTCACAATAAAAATCTCAATATATGCTTTTAACATTTTGGCTGCATACAACTATAACAATGAAACATGCCCAGGACAATATGCAACACAAGAAAGCAAATATTAAAATGCATATCAAAACACAGAACATTAAGAAATCTAAGGAAATTCAGCCTAAAAAAAAAAGAAGGGAGAAAAAAAGAAGCCCAACATTTATTATTGTAGAAACAAGAAGTAAAAGGTAGTTGCATAATTAGAAAAATAAGACACTTTTGTATTTAGCAATTAGAGATAATGATCAGATGATTACAGTCTACCCTCTAAAATTTGACTTCAAAAGAACTTCAATAATCTGCAGAGCAAACAAGAAAAAATGGCTCTTGTTCTTTAACACTTAATACGCTTAGGAAAGAAAAAATACAATTTTTTTTAATCTTCCATTTTTCAAAAATTTTCATATTCAAGCTGATTCTAACAAATTTTCGCAGCATGAAAGAGTATGCAATTTTGTGTCAAAATTGAAGAAGGCTGAAGCATCTGTTCCATGTAATTTCTCATTGTTTTTACAAAAAGAAAAACACTAAAAATGTAGCTGATAGAAACCGTGGTCACTATTATTCACTCATGCACTCACACCCAATATCCACTCAGAATTAGTAGAATGGCTTCATACCAGTGCCAGTTTATGGGTTTCGCAAAAACCATGATGTTTGCCCCATTTGTGTGAAGTAGTCCTGGCCACATGGGAATGTGAATTTTGTTGTATTGGCATATATATAATTAACAAATACAGAAAATGGCATGTACATAAGCCATAAATTTGGTTCACAATAAAAATCTCAATATATGCTGTTAACGTTTTGGCTGCATATAACTACAACAATGAAACATGCCCAGGACAATATGCAACACAAGAGTTGCCCTCATATAAAAACCAATGCTAATTCAAAATGTTACAAATTCGAAGAGTTGTTGATTATTTGAGAGAACAATGGAGAGCACATTGCAAGCATCTTTCTGTATGATTGGTTTTTCCAAAGAACATGAATATGATGTTATTAAAATCCTAAGATAACAACAGGAATTGTAAATCTAAAAACTGTGCTGCATTACCAAGTGAATAAAAAAAAACTAAACACTTAGAAAATTTTCATTATAAAGAAAACCAATTTATGAACCCCAAATTATACATATTTTGGAAGAGTAACTTTTCCCGCATCTTCGTCACCATTTAATGTGGAATGTGTTTACGCTTGGTTGAACATGGTGCATTGTTTGCAAACATGTATAATTCGACTTGTGCCAAAAAATCAAAACAACAAAAAAGCAACTCCATCCTGATCAAAGTGGCATAACATTTTAACGAAAAGGTTTTGAGCAAAGTAACTTAGCAAGAGTGCTGTTACACCTATCGACTAAATTCTGTGTAAAGATTAGATTGATCTATCAAGTTATTCTATGAGTGAGCACACATCAAAGAGAAAATGGTCACTTATAGACATAAAAAGGACTATTGATACTCTTGAAAAGTGATCATTGTTTTCTTTGACGTGTGCTCACTCATGAATGGCTCCACGGATCTATCTCATTTTTTTTTACACAGAATGTAGTTGTTAGGTGTAAGAACACTTCTTTTAAGTTAATTGCTCAATACTGTTCCGTTAAAAAGTTACACCAGTTTGATATGTGTGGGGTTGTTTTTTGGGGGGTTATTTCAACTACACCCCTACTTTGACACTTTTTACATCTTTTGATCAATGTGCTATGTTCATCCAAGCGTAAACACATACCACACAAAAATGGTACCGAATATGTGGGAGGAGTTACTCTTTCAAAATATTATAATAGTTTGGGGTTCATAAATCTGTTTTCTTTTTAATGACAATTTTCTAAGTGATCATTTCAATTTCAAAAGGCCTGTTGATAGAACAACACATTCCAAGGCTTTATTTCTGGTTGAAATGGTAATATGCCCTGAAGGCTCTCACTGCACCAGACTCTTGAGCTCCTGGTTTGACATCAAAAGCAATGGTGTCCATCACAACCCACATTGCTCTTGCCTGGCATGGATACTGTAGATCAAAGATCTGAAAGATCTTGTAGCACAAATCTACAGCTGCAACGAGACTCTTCTGCTCAAGAACGTGGTGCTCCAATACAACAAAAGTCTGAGCTGGATTGCAGAAGTGTCCTCCTAGGGCTAGGATGAAAGGTTGGTTCCTCCCATGCGAAGATTTGTATGCCTCTACATTGGTCCCCTCCTGACATGAAAGAAAAGAAAAAAAATTGCCACCATGAAATGTGCATAATAATTGCTTGTAACACACTCTCATATGCTGAAGTACAGTTGAAATGTAATGTTAGGTGCATCAGAAATTATCCAGGGGGTATTATTACTTATTTGACTGACCATTAAATCTAATCTTTAAATATACAGTGACATTGTTATCGACCAACTTAGTTATTCCTGGGTATGGAAAGAAACAATAGTGATATTGTGTCTTGGAAAGTTGCAAAAATAAGTAGAAATATCTCCAGCTAAGGTGCCACATATATCCACAGCCCATTGTGAAATATTTGCCATAGAATGTATCATCCCACAAAATTTGAGAGAAGGGCTATTTCATGTAATGCTTCTCACTTTCACCTTCTTACCCTCTAACCACTTCCCCTTCCCAATCTACCAAAAAAAAAAAAAAAGTTCTTTTTTGGAATGGCCATGAATCTTCTCATTGCTATAATTACCTTTTGAAAGTCAATGAAATTATCCAAGGCTTCTTGGATGGAAGCTCTTCCTCCCTTTGTTGACTTCTTTCCAGGGAACAAATGCGAGAGAAGGCAAAATGCCAGGTTCATCCTCTCATCTGTATCAATAATATTAAAGAAAATTTCTTTAGACTGATGATACATGTTTATCATATTTTCATGCACTATTTGACTCGGCCTTCATTGTATCCATCGACTTAAAAAAAAATATTTGTGACGACTTTTAATGCTGAAATCTATAAATGAAAAAAAAAAAAAAAATAGATGGAATCACAACTGCACAGTCAAAATTAACCCCTCCCCCCTTCCGATGTATATATGGGTTTGTTATTTGTTCCTTCTTCAAACATAATGTAAATAAGATTTAATCTGAAAACTTGTTTATTTTGGTACAAACTACTCAATCATAGATTTTCTTCATAACACAATAAGAACTACAGAAAAACTTTGGGTGATGGTGAAGCGAGCAGTACAATTATTTGCCAATTTGCTTACTATATCTGTAAACAATATCATACCTTGACTGAAGTCTGTGTCTTTTCTATGCTGAACGTTAAATCTGGCCTTCCACCCTGGGCTTACTCGGTTTGCATATTCTAGGATGCACGCAGACACCACCGGCCACTTTGTATAGAGGTGCTTTCCTCTCCCCGAAAACAGCATTTCGTAGTCTTGCTCAATCTATGAATCAGAAAGATAAAATCTATAGCATGCATATCTCATTGTCTTTTTTTTACGGGTGTATTTTTTTTCTTCTTTTGGCCATGTATTGGCCTGCATCAATTTGACATGAAAATCATAAGAATAGTACAAGTAAAACAAGTCGTGCACAGTCTGCAATGTGATCCAGCAAATACTTGGGTGGGTGAATGCATATTTACAAGATTAGGACTTCAAATTAAATAGATATTGAATAAACTGTATCAAAATTTATCCCAGTCAAATTTGCTTAAATGTAACATTTTGAATCATGGAATTCCTCTGGGAATGAAATCAACAAAAAAAAGATAAAAAAGAAAATATAGATAACATGTCTGGACAATTAATAAAGTGGGTGAAATAAAAAAAAAAAAAAAGACCCTAACCTACTTTTCTAACCACTTCACTGGACGATTCTTGAGGAGTTCTTCATACAATGTCATTTTCAGAATGTGTGCAGGTATTTTTTTTTGTTTTTGTTGAATGCTCCATGTAGATATAACAGAAAAAGCAGTTATTTTTATGTGTACATGCGTATATCACATACATAGATCTATAACCGACTGTATTAATATCCTTCATCTTGATTTCGTTAGATAAGGGACCTGCTTATTAAACCGTAATGACAGTTAACAAAGGTAATGAAACATTTACTTACCATTCCAGGGGAAAGGAGATGTGGAAACTCATCCAGCACTTCAGCCACACAAGGCTTTTTCCTGGAACTTCCCGGCAGTGTTGAATGTACAAAGTCCTTTCTATATGCTGATGTCAGCTGCATTTTGGCCACAACATCTTTTTGGGGGGTGTTATGACTTTTCAACCATTCAGTGATGACTTTCATGTCTGCAAGATCTGATCAATAATAATGGAACTCTTAAGATATCAATCATTATCAAATCAAGCCCGAGTTAAAATGGATGAACCTCCTGTTCATCCTAGTATTTTTCTAACTTTAAGCTGTATGTTTTATCAGGCAGCATTAAAATTTAATTTGGCTGCTAATTAGTATCAAAGTAATCAAGGTTTTACCAGGTAGTATTTGACTTATTTTTTAATACAGTTAAACCTGATTAGTCGACCTTTCATACGTCAAATATTCGCCCAAGTCAAAGCAATCTTTAAGACCAGATTATGCAAACATGTGTTAATGTATACTCTTCTAGGTTAAATTTCTCCCAAGCAAAACAGATTTCTATGGTCCCAAAAGATTCAACATAGCCAAATTACCTGTAATTGAAAAGAGTGTCACATTACCAGCATTTACTCCCTTCAAGAAGAGCTGATTTTGCTATAACATGCATTTGCCAGACCCCAACCAAAGAAATTAGTACTTCAATGGGACAAAAAGGAAATACAAAATTACATTCAACTCGAAAAATGCAAAGAAAGTCGGATCCCTTTCTCTAAGTTTTGCTATAAACATGCCCATGGCGGCCAAACTATGAAAATTAACACAATCTACATATAACAATGGTTATTTACTACTTAGCTTGAACCCCGGGAACAAATTTTTTGCTACTGGGCAAGTATTTTTTAAGCCTGCTTGACTATCCAAAAGGAGAACCGGAATCAACTGGACCAGTTACACCAGTAAAAATTCAACTGGTAACTCTGGAAATTGGAACAAAATAATACTGTTCCAGTTGAACTGGACCAGTAAAAATTCAACAGGTTGCATTAGACTGTTATATGCTTTGGAAATTATTGGTAACATCTGTAAGTGCATACCATAATTCATCTGAGGAGATGCTAGATCCTCACTGGAAGATGTTGAAGCTATATCCTCAGGACTGCCAACCCCGACTTGCTTCTTGTCTTTCTCCGCTGTTATTCTTCTTAAATACTTGAGTCTATTCTCTATCCTACCACCTGCAGGACATTTGGAGCTTTTGAAGTACCATTCCTCCTTAAAAAAAAAAATCCTGTGCATTAGCATGAATAATGTAACAATTCAAGGAGTAAACTATATAGCCATAACTTCAAATAAATTACTATCTTCAAAGTTCATGAGAAAATATAAAATATTAATCAGGCCATTATCACATTAATAAAGAGCTAGATGAAAGTAACTCACAGACAGAAAATTTGAAACTGAAACTTCCATCATGAAGCACAAGGGAAAATTTAATAATGTGCTTCCTATCACAATATTCTAATGAGTAACAAGAAATTTTTCTTTGGACTAAAAGGACTTTACTGATATGTGCCACAGATGAGTTTTAATTGAAATACTGACACAAAGTCAGTCTCCACAAACTGTCTACTCACATCTCCATTTCCAGCTGGATCTTTCAGGAAGGGGAACTCTGCGATGATTGAGGAGGCCATTGCCCCTTTCATGTCAGGGCCAGGTCTGTTTAGTAAGAGAAATTAACATTACAGTTTAATGTACATGTACTTATGTTAGAAAATACACATGTGGAACAGTGTCTAGAATGAAATTATTGTGGTGTAGTTGAGCTTACTCCAAATCAAAGGATGTGGTTTGAGCTAACCTAATGTGCATGCCCCAATGTTTCGGTGAAACAGTTCTTTTTCTTATTGAATTTCACGAACACCATATTTTCGTTCTCAAAGACACCGTAAATTTCCCAGGTTACTTTGCAGCCACAATACTTTGACGATGAAGAAGTTTGACGAATTTGCAGACGGCAAATTTACCTTTATTTCCTGATTTGTCGAGGCTAATATCGCCCAAAGAGTAAGTAATATGAAAGTTAAATATCTAAATTTAATAATGATATGAAAGAGAAAGGAATTTGATAAATTCTAGATACGATGTTTTGAGATTGAAGTTTGATGTCAAAATTGTTATTTACACAGAGTTATCGTTAATGTGTTCGCTACGCTACATGTATTAGCAAGTGAAGAGTGTCAATTTCATAAACAAAGAGTAAAATTGTCTAGTTTGCTTGATAAGATTAAGCCTACAAAAGTACTGAAATTCTGGTACAAAACAAAGGTTTGATTTGTAGGATTAAGCTATGTCAAATTTGGTACAATGTACAAGATGTATTTTGAAAGCCATTTTGTGTTCTTAGTAGGTTTCATGTATTTAAAAGGGATACAGAACAGACGGAACAAAAGAATGCCTGAGAAAAGGGCTGAATGTTTAAACAGGTTTTATAAATGAATGCTGTTAAGCTGCATTTTGCCTGAGCTTGTATTCAAGATATTTTGGTCAGTCAAGATGTAGGTCGATAGGCAAAGGTCATATTTCATTTCGGTCAGATTTATCTGGAATGAGCTCTGGATAAATTAATTTGGATGTTCTTTTGAGCCACAAAAAGAAACAATGCAGCAGTAATAAAGCATGTCATTTAATGATTAAGAAAAAGCAAAGACCATATGTGAATAGTGGAAATATTGTTATATATAAACCATCCAAGAGGTTTCAAGGTTATTTAGTGCTTTGTTAAGCATGGTTTATTTATTCAGGATTTAGTTTGGTTTAAATACAGTAAAGAGCAAATTAGGTAGTTTGAATGAAAATCATACATTTGAAAGATTATACATTGCATGTGTTTTAAGGAGATTTCGGTATTTCCACAGGACGTTAAATTTCTAGTCAACTAGTTAATTGAATTTCTTAAAACCAAGTGAAGCTTGTGATTTTCTGAATTCTTAAAGAAAACATAATTTTGCTACTATTGACGTATAAATAAGTCACTCATGACAACTGATTATTCCATGAAGCGATATATGTTTATTAGCAGACAAGAAGATGTAAATCTCTGAGTATTGCACTAAACAATGTGTTTTTATTCTCTCTGTTTTCATCTACAGATTGAATGATTTGGAAGGGAGTTCCAGAATAAACTTCCATCCTCCATAGACCATACAATATGCGGTGTTAGCCTTGTTATTTGTTGTCTCACTTGACTCAAGGTTACTAGTAGCAGGTATATTTTAAGCTTGGCAAATATCCTTCAGAGCCCTGTTATACCATACTTTGAAAAATGAGATGCCTGATGAGGGAAAGGAGGATTTTCAAATCAACTGGACATGAGAAAGGGACCTAGTCAGGAAGGTCAAAGTCTTGCTGTAAAGTGAATGTGATTTCTTGCAAAAGAAAGAAGAAGAATGCACAATGCAGACAGAAACAAGGCAATAGCATATGAGCCATTGCAAATACATGTAACATTCATTACCTTAGGCCATGCAAGTTTACAAGGTGCTCTGTACACAAATTACAGACGACACGAGTGTTGTGTGGTGCGCAGACTTTCATTCGAGTTACTTCCTCCAACGTTTTTCTTCCTTCCATGGTTTTCTTTAGAATTTCACCCACATCCTATAAAAAAATCAGAATTGCACGAGTTAAGAAAATGTTGTGTGTGTGTTTTTTTTATTTTTTATCATAATAGTACAGGTGGTATTAAATCTTTTCTGGCACATTTCAACATCTTCCAAAAGCATTTGCTAAAAAGGGATTCTTACAGATACAGTGCATGTATTTTTGATCGATTTTGCATGCATAGTAATAAATGGGATAATCACAGCTCAAAATAACATGCAAAAAATGTGCTACCCAGCAGATAGAGTGTTCTTTGTTTTCAACAGACCTTGGTGATAAAAATAGCAACTGGGAGTCAATTTAATTAAATCTCTGAATTCTAAAGGGACTTACAATTTCAATGTTTTTATTATTGTTCTGAACTTAACATCATAGACAGCGTGGCTCTTAAATACTTTGCTCAGGGACACACAGAGTGGTAGACTTTTATTTCCACATAAAAAAAGAATAGATCTGATTGAAAGCTTTCGTTAACGCCATGTGGTAAGCCTTAGGGAAAAGGCCGTTGATATACATGTATCTTTCTTCAAGGGACCCACTTATAGGGCAATTAGAGGAATAAAGGAAAGGAAGTGAATGCAATGGAATTTGAATTTAGAAACACAAACACAAGACTTGTTTTTTAGCTTTCAATTTGATACGTTTTTAGCTTTTTGTTTTGGTGTTGAAAACACTGAAAAATGAAATGAAATGGAAAGAGGAAAAATAGAAAAAGATCAAGATCAGAAAATTTGTGACCAGTTCACAAATTCGAAGAGTTTAGTTCTGAAAAGAACTGTTGGTATTCCTTGTTGAGTTTATTTCTGTAAAGAACGGTTGGTTTCTTGAAAGGGTTAACTATAGTATTTGTAACTATAGTATTATTTCAATAAAAGGAGATATCGACTCGACACGTTTCGAACAGTATGCTCTATTCGTCGTCAGGAGTATAACTCAAAGAATCATTCAGTGCAACTGGCTTTTTATGCAGTGGGAACCGCACAAATGGGTCCGGCGCTAGCGGAATCGTGATTGTTTAACGAAAGCTTTCAATTGTGAATACTCACTCACCATGAAAACCTAGAGAACATTTAGAATAGCCATGATATAAATACACGTAAATAATATAATATGGCCTAAATATTTAGACTGAATGAATTACAATTTTTTTTTTAAATGTGAACTTACGTATCTTACTGCTTTCTGGCGCTTGAGTGGTGGCGTGTCACTGCTGCTGTTCAAATCATTGACTACTGATGAGCATGAATCTTCATCTACTGCAATAGTTGAAGCCTGAGAAAGGTCGAAAGGAACTGATTCCACATCTGATATCATGAAATCATCAGACAGCTCGGGTGACTCCCAGCCCATCTGCATGCCTGTCAGTACAGATTCTGCAGAATCGTTTGCTTTATCCTGAAAGGATGAAAATACACAGTCTGTCAAAAGGTTTCTGCAATTCAACATTTAAATTATTATCTCGATTTTTCACATCATTTTACTTGAAATCAAAATTATTGAAATGTACTTGTAATGTATGTCTATTCTCCTTTGAAAAGATGCTTCTGATTGTACTAGTTCAAATAGCTATAAAATTAAACATTATGGAATGTGTAAGACAACTGAATTACGGTACCATGTCAAAAGTGAAAATTAGTGTTCACTGTCGATGGCAAATTTCTTAATTTGTTTTAGGATAGATAGAGTGTAATTGATCTTGTCATATTGAAGTGGTTCTGCATGAGTGACAACATTGTATCCTAAAGATAATTAAACACTTTTGAACTAATTATTTGAGATTCATTACTGATGGTGTATTGTTTGAAATGGAAATGAACTGACATTCCTATTATATGAATGTATAATGATGCATAGAAGTGCTACAGTAAACAGAGATATGGATGATCAAAGTTAAATTACAAAAATGTCTTTGAGGGGTTTACTTTGCTCCTTCTAAATATTCAGTTCTATGTAAAGGCCATTATTAAGAAAAAAAAATGTACATACACATTTTTTCGTTGAAAGAAAGTACATAAGTTTGAACGGGTATTGAGGAATTGAAACTACAGTGTATTGTACCTGTAAGTCACTTTTGGCTCTGAGTTAACTTTGATGCAGTTATGACAGCATGTATCGGGTAGGAATGTACCACCGATGATCTGCAATACCATGACTCTTCACTGCATGAACAGGTCTGTGTTCAAACAGGTTTTCAGGATCAACCAACTGCAGTGTAGCCAACTCATCTTCTGATGCAACATAGGCTTGAAAGTGATCATGAAAGTAATTTGTCTTCCATGGTTGGATCATCAAATATAGTCTATCCTGCTTTCTCATAAGACAATCAATTCTTGAGAAAGATGGTAGTTCACCACACCAGTCAGTTAGCAACATTATATTAGGTCTGTATGTGTATCCATAAAATGTTACTTTATCACACAATTCTAGTACAGCATCAGGTTCACAGCTCAACAGCTGACATACTTCTGCCTCACTATCAAGATCACACACTTTAACAAATTCTGAACTGTGGATGCATACACATTCGCTGTTGATGTTTTCTTTCTTGAGCATTCTGAATGCTTGATCTTCCTGGTGTTTACGTGCAATTGTTTTGGCAATGTTCTTGTAGTTATTGCAAGTTTTTGCCCACCTTTTCAAAGGCTTGTGCTTTCCTTCTTGCCTCATACAAGCATACTGTGACAAAGGACCTAGCTCTCTCATTGCTCGGGGATAGTGGAGAAGATTGTGATGCTTGGGGAGGAGATGGTTATCAGGAAATAGTTGCAAATACAACTGATGATGCTCACTAATCCTTGACTGCAAGTAGTAGGTAACAGCAATGCTAATGTTTGGTGCTATGACCAGCTGGAAGATTTCCAGAAGAATTGTGAACAACCTCCAGTATTCACACCCTTCTTCAACTTTATCTCCCACAATCAGAGGTATGAATTCAACAAGACAGCTCATCTGTGATGCCTTTTGACCACTTGCTCCAAATGGGTTGTTAAGGTGACTTTGAAGGATGAGGCTGGGCTTGTTTGCGTGTTCTGTTACGCCGTAGCTGAATGACCGAATACGACTGTTTAGTTCATCAAGGCTAAATCTGCCCTGTTGTATGAGCTCAGACAGGACAAGTTTCATCTCAAATGGAAGTAACCCTTCTAGGAAATCGTGCATCAGGTCAGGAGCATAGTTTTGTGATACGTGGTAATAGCTCAGTGAATTGAGAGCACATGATCTCCGGAGTCCTGTTTGGGATACATCTTTTAAACTGATATCATAATCAACGTTTTCTTTAGTACGAAGTAACCTTTCATCAACAACTACCTGTTTTCTGCATATTGCCTTAAGTGCCTTGCAGAACCTGCAATAGTAGTTTGCACTAAAACTTCCAGCAAAGCCAAGTATGGTATTGAGAGCCAAGTTATCACCGACTGCCTGGAGAAGTCTGAGACGAATGGTGCCGTTGAATCCATCTGGACTATCTATATGAAGACCTTCGGTAAAGAGAACTTCAAGATCATCAGAAATACGCTGCAGAACAGCATTAACACCATATTTGGACACAAGAGAAGATTTTGCTAAAGCGACCAAAAGTACATTTTCAAGCTTAGCTTGATATTTCTTGGGCAAAGAAGCAACAGTTAAATAGACTCCAAGAAGTTTGTGTTTCCCTTTCTTTGAACCGAGGGGATTTGCTGTCTCGAAGTCATCATTATAGAGTAACAATTCAATATCCAAACAGTTTTGTTTCCCTTCAAAAGTCCTATAATATGATCCATCTCTATAAGTCTGAAGAACTTCTTTCTCACCAGCACAGTCTTTTTCTTGACTGATGACCGACATATAGCCTGGTTGTTCCAACAACACTTTAAGACTGTCTCCTATTGGCACATACTGAAAAGTTTCATCAACTTGTTTTTGCTCAGTCCTTCCAGTACGCACATTCAAACATTCTCTGTATGCTTTGCCCAAAACAATTTCTTCTGGCTTAATAAGAACTTTACATTCGTGGGCATATTGGTTTTGCTTGTGGACAGTAGATAAACTGAAATAATCAAATGGATCTTTCACCATGTGGAGGACTGACTGTAGACTGTCAATTTTATCATCTGACGGTTTGATATCATGAGCTATGTCCTCAATGACGGGGGCTGACACTTGTAGAACTGCTTCATTTACATTCCTGAGCAGCTCCCGTGTGTCACAAATGATGCTTTGCACAGTAGATGATGGCAGGGAAGAGCTTTTAAGTTTTGCTACATATTCAGAAACAGAATGTTTGATATTTGCTGATATTTCCTCGTTGGGTTTTTCATTTGGCAGCACTTCTGACTGATCTGATACACTTTCATCATCAGAAACAGCATTTCCATGAGAATCTTCATCACTGACATTTTGTGCAATGGAATCATGATATTGTAAGTGCCGCTTGTAGCTATAACCATGATAAAATGTTTTAAAACATTCTTGCACATGACACACAAGTTTTGTTCTGGTCTTCGTATTGATGTTATGGATCTTTAAATGGTTCCATAGATCCCCACTTTTTTCAAATGATTTCACACATTTGCAACACGAAAACATTTTCTTTCCAGGAATATCTTATGGCTGCTTACTAACCTTTCTCTTCCAGTTATCAAAACGGTCAATGAATTTAAGTCTTGGACCCAACTGCGGGATCACGTCCTTCACAAGACTTGCATCAAGCAGCTTGAATGCTGATGAGTCAATGCCACAATCTAAATGGAAAGAAAAAAATGGTAAATTCCACTTTTTGTAAAAAATTATCAATTATCAATACAACGATGATTAACTAGGTGTGATTCAATCCATACAGAATACATGACAATCGCATTTTTACTTCAGTCATTTCTATCTAGGGTCTATATCTAAGTTAGATGTAGACCCCTCGGCTCTATACATTGTAGGATCTAGCTTTGTTCTTAATGATTTGAGTCAAATAAAAAACAAAAACAAAAAACACCTGTAGGAAAAAAAATAAATAAAGAGGATTTATCTTTGTTATATTTTGTTTGGTATAAACAATTCTCCCTATCTCATATCATTTCGGGCAAACTCAGAATTCGGAAGTCTTCCGATTTCGGCAGTCTTTTAATTATCATACATACATGTAGGCCTAGACTCTAAGTTAGAGTCTAGTCAGTAGCCTAGAATCTAGATCAGATGGAGTAAATATATAAATGCTATACAATGTTGATTCAAGATCAAAGAAAAAGCTGTACTGCTGTAGACCTAGTTTAAACTTAGACACAGCATGCACAGACCAAAATCAGGTACCAGCTAGGAGACAGGACCGCACGCGACCACGGCCGGCTCAGCCCGGGGCTGCGCCACCCAGTACAACGGCTGGGCGTTCGAGCTGCAATACCCAGTGCCCGATCAGACAGTACCAAAAAAAAAAATCATGTTGAAGAATTAGAAAGAAATATATACTCTGGTCTACTGGTAATGCATACTTACTTCTAAAATTGACGATTTGGTCGGTCAGCTCCCATTTCCTCAACAACGAAGCAACTTTGTCGTCCGCCATTTCACCGCTGTGTACTCAGGTTGGTTGGTGTACTAGGGCCAGGGCCTTTAGTATATACCGTATGCATGTATTATGCACACATGTTTTTTATCCTATGCGGCCGCGTGCTGTGCAGGGCTTTTCGTGGAGGCAGTGTAAATCTGGGAGTGCAATTTACTCAGAGTTAAGTAAAATTTAATGCCACTGGAGCAAACTTTACTCATCAAGAATGAGCAAAACTAAAAATAGACAAAAATTGGAGCAAACTTTACTCAACAAGAATGAGCAAAACTTAAAAAGGAAAAAAAAAGAGTAAATAGTCAGAGTTTGCTCAATATAGGAGACTTGTACGTTGTAAAAAGTACATTATTGCTCAATATTGAGCACTCTTGTGTTTACCTCGGCGATATTTTACCCCATGGATTTAGAGTGTGGTGTTCCACGTCGAGTATGTGCATGTGATGGGAATCTCCTTGGTTAATATACGGAATAAACCTCATGTGCACAAAGACGCATCGGCGAGTTTCATAGCGTATACAATTAGCATTATGTTCACATAGGATTTTAGTGATTAGGGTAATTATTGCCCAAAGTACATAAAATCATACATGTGCACATTATCTCACATTTTTTATGAATAATTACCCTTTCTTCTTCAGAAACTTATACTCCTACAAACTACACAATACATTCCGAGGAAACGTGAACTATCCACAAAAAGAATCACCTGGAACGGTACTTAAACCCTAAACTTTTAAAACGGATGCTACATGCCAGACCACATTGTATTGATCCTCGTGCGAAAGAAGAAGAAAAACAGTTTTGACAAGACTCCTTAGAATCGAATTGAGATGTAAAGGATACATCTGACGTTAATCTGGAAGCTCTTTTATGTCGTTAATCTATGGATACAATAGGGTTGTTAGAAGGTGTTACTTTGGGGGGTTGTTGGGTCGAGAGGGCCTCGCGTGCAGGTGTCACTCTATAGAGCCCCGGTCACACCTGTCATATCAAGTTAATTATATCAAGTCATTTATTGCTCCTCCTTTAATTATGTTCAATTAAATGATCTTCTTATGTCATCTGAATCTTGTGCTCTTAGTTCAGTTTACATGTTACCAGTTACCAGTTTTTTTTCCTCCAGCCATTTTAATCAGGACAAGAATCTCCATGTCAAAGTTGTTCACCTAATATTTCTGTACCTGGCTTTTCAAGCTTAGTAGCTTACTTTGTACAATAATTTATTCATTCTAAATTCTGACATTTTCTTTGCCGGAAACACAAATATACTTATGAATATGTGAATAATGCTTTTTATTCCATGTTCTTAATGATAGTTTGTTGAATGATGGTGCAACATACTGCTGCAACGATTTATCAGACTCATTCCCAAATACCATTGTTTTGTGTGTACAAATTGCCTATAGTATTTTTGTTTCCTAACCGCGTTTTTTAAACGCACTTCAGGGAAAATATATGAAATTATCAACAATTATCAACAACTCCTAAAACAAATATCACCAGTATGATAAGCGAAATTATAATTATTCAGACATTTAGTTATCAACATCGAAGTGGTGGGACCAACACCTTAAGACAGGCGGGTCTCGGCTTACACACTTTGAAAGAGCATTCATCGATCTCAGGTGTATTTGTCCGAACGGAAATGACGCTATATGCATGTAAACAAAAAGTATCACTAAACACTGTGGTCTTCTATCCATGCAGAGCCAACGAAGTATAGTTTGAAAGTTTTGGGGTAAACTTAGGGCATTTTGAATTTGCAATAGTCATAGTCATTACGAACACCAATCCTCTTGTGGAGACTAGCGAAATTATGGTTCAAGATATTGTTAATGTAATTCGTGTGTTTATTTGGTACTAAAAATATTCTTAACACAAATGCGTTAACAAAACGCGCTCAGAAAATACAAAAGCAAATTTAGGTCTATCTTTTAACACGGTGAACAAGTAGCTTTGGGCTGAAATGTTTCAATTTTTCTTTAAGCAGTTTGAAATTTAAACGTACATAACTATTATAGTACTTCCTTGTTTTTTTTAAACATTTTCCCTGAATAAAATAGAAGATAATTAGGAAAGCCTACTGTCATAACTGTAATTTATCGGAAACATGCGACCTGCGTTCGGCCCTGTACCAAATCCAGCCTTTTTGTTACCACCCTAATGTTGTGGGTCATTTACTTCAGCCAATAATTAAGGAATTGACTTTGAAATAGTTTTTGTTTGCATTTTATATTTGGACGTATTAAAAATGATATTATTTTTACGTAAAGAATGGCAAATTGTTATTTCTTTTCTTTGTGTATGAAGGCATCGCAAAGGAAAAATATTGAAAATGTTTAACAGAAAATACAGACAAAGTGACCTTTATACAGAGTTACACTTTTGCACCCCTCCTCTCCCAATTAGCAACTCCTGTCCATATCCGAGTGATAGCTGTCAAGTCAACTAATTAACCACATTACTTCACAGTATCGTTTCTGAACTCATTCGGATATTCATTAATTTCCTCTCTTGTCCGCTAAACCTGCTAAAACTTGTCACCTCATTTTTAATCTGCGAGAATCAGGAAGTGTCTTTAGAACAAATCGGTTGTGGTGAAATAAATAGATGTTGATATATACATGTCATGTAGAAAGAGAAGCACCCGTCATTTTGATGACGTCAGTGAACGATTTATATAATTTGATTTAGACTTGTAAACGGTTAATCAACAATTAATACCATCGCAAACTTTTATGAAATCGATGTGAGAGAAATTGTAGTACCCTTTTATGATTATACTGATTATAAACATTTCTTTCAGATTATGTGATATTCAGTTGTAATATTTTGTACATTTCAATACTTGAGGGCAAGCAGAATTGCGATAGGATGGTTTTAAACGTAAATCTACACTTATTCACTTCAATATCAAATTTGTTTAAAAAAATTATCAGTTTCGTGTACAGCATTCAGTGGTAGAATTCTTGCCCAGGCGCGGATCCAGGATTTCTTAGGAGGGGGGGGGCCCAAATTTGAAATTATGCGAGCCAAATATTGGTACGTAATAGTGACCAACAGTGACGTAATGCGGGGGGGGGGGGGGTCGATGCAGGGAGGGGCGAGTTTCCCCCTCCCTCCTCCGTGAACGCGGAAGTTTTGACGTTTCAATTATTATACCGTTCTCAAAAATAATTCTCGTCTGAATTTATTTTTTCCCCTCCCGCGCGAAGCGCGGAAAATTTTACGATTTATTAAATTATTACGATTCTTTGGAGAGTTCTCGACTCTTAATCCACGTCTGAATTCAGGTTCTCCCCCTCCCGCGCTTCGCGCGGAAGATTTTTAAGTTTCCTTTAATCATTAGAGAAAGAAGACGATTCGTTGTACCGTTTTCGACACTAATCCTCGTCTGAAATCAGTTTTCCCCCTTCCGCGCGAAGCGTGAAAGCTTTTACGATTCATTAAATCATTAGAGAAAGAAGACGATTCGTTATACCGTTCTCGAAAATAATCCTCGTCGGAATTTAGTTCCCCCTACATCCCGCGCGAAGCGCGGAAGGTAACATTAAATCATTAAAGATTCGTATTACCGATCTCGCCTCTGAATCCTCGTCTGAATTCAGATCCCCCCCCCTCCCGCGCTTTGCGCGGAAGCTTTGACGTTTCACAAAAAAAAAAATACGATTTATTAAATTATTACGATTCTTTGGAGAGCTCTCGACTCTTAATCCTCGTCTGAATTCAGGTTCCCCCCCCCCCTCTCGCGCGAAGCGCGGAAGCTTTTACGTTTCATTAAATCATTAGAGAAAGAAGACGATTCGTTGTACCGTTCTCGACTCTTAATCCTCGTCTCAATTCAGTCCTCCCGCGCGAAGCGCGGAAGCTTTTACGTTTTATTAAATAATTCGAAAGAAGACGATTCGTTGTACAGTTCTCGACTCTTAATCCTCGTCCGAATTCAGGTCCCCCCCCCCTTCCCGCGCAAAGCGCGGAAGCTTTTAAGTTTCATAAGATTATGAGAGAAAGAAGACGATTGGCTGTACAGTTCTCGACTCTTAATCCTCGTCTGAATTCAGTTCCCCCCCCCTCCCGCGCTTCGCGCGGACGCTTTTACGATTCATTAAATCATTCGAAAGAAGACGATTCGTTGTACCGTTCTCGAAAATAATCCTCGTTTGAATTTAGTTTCCCCTCCATCCCGCGCGAAGCGCGGAAGCTTTTACGTTTCATTAAATCATTAAATATTCGTATTATATTGTATCAAGCCATATTATGTTCATGAAAATGTATGTTGAAAAAAAGAAAAAAGATGCAGCAACCAATAAATCAAATCAAATGAAATCAAATCAAATTACCGTTCTCGCCTCTGAATTCAGGTCTGATACAGTTCCCCCCCCCCCCTCCCCTCCTGAGCGAAGCTTTGACGTTTCATTAAATTATTAGAGAAAGAAGACGATGCGTTGTACCGTTCTCTATACTCTTAATCCTTTTTTCAAAGGTGTTCTTTGTCTGCTCCCTTTTCTTCCTACGTCTTCTTCCAATTTGGGGGGACCAGCCCCCCCCCCCCCGGCTACGCGCCTGCGGTCAGATAAACACATTTTGATACCTTGTCCGACCCCGCAAGCTCAGGGGTTTAAGGCAATAAATTGCGGTCAGATAAGCATTCAGGGGCCCGCCTTATGGCCCCTGGTGGGGTCGAGGCGGCTGAGCCAGCCCCGGTTGATCAGGGGTTTTAGGCGTTTAATTAAGCTCAGATGAGCATTTTTGTTATACCTTATTATTTTATGACACTGGCAGGTCACTATTTGGCGTGGATTCCAGGGGGCGGAACCCCCAAAAATCAGGGGTTTTAGGCATTAAATTACCGTCAGATGAGCATCTAAGGGCCCGCCGTAGGGTCCTAGGTGGAATCCAGGGGCAGAGCCCCCGGGAGCTTAGGGGTTTTAGGCATTTAATCACGGTCAGATGAGCATATTTAGATGCCTCATTAATTTTTAACACTGGCAGTTAACTATTCTTTCTTTCTTGCTCTCATTCTATTTTATTTCTCTTTAAAATACTTTTTCAAAAAAGTGGGGGGGGGGGGGGGGGGGGGGGGGCGGGGGAGGGAGCTCGAGGCTCCCGATCCCCGCCCCACCTCGGGCCTGACATGTAGGAATCTCAAGAATCATATTTCTTGCCTGGCTGTAAATTTAGTAATTTTTCATTCTCCAACAAACACATACAAACGTATATACTAAAAAGTGAGGAAAAATCTCGGAAATTATGTCATTTCTTTCCCTTTCCTTCCTTCTCTCTTTTTTTTT